ATCTAGGTTATCCTATTTGTTGGTATACGATAGTGTTCTCTAATCTTTTCTATTTCTGTAGAATCAGTAGTAATGTCCCTAGTTTCATTTCTGATTTTAGTAATTTGAGTCTTCTGTCTTTTTTTCTTAGTCCATCTAGCTAAAGGCTTGTCAATTTTGTTGATCTTTTGAAAAACCAAATTTTGGGTTTGGTTGATTTTCTCTCTTATTTTTCTATTTCCAATTTCACTCATCTTTGCTCTGATTTTTATTGTTTCTTTCTGCTGGCTTTGTGTTCAGTTTTTTCTTGTTTTTCAAGTTTCTTAAGTTGTAAAGTTAGGTTGTGGATTCAAGAACTTCTCTATTTTTTTCTTTTTCTCTTTTAATAGAAGCATTTTAGCTATAAATTTCCCACTTAGCACTATTTTCACTGTGTCCCATAAGTTTTGATATGTTGTGTTTCAGTTTTCATTCATCTCTAAGTATTTTCTGATTTCTCTTGTTATTTTTTCTTTGATCCATTGGTTGGTGTTTAATTTCCACAAATTTGTGGATTTTCCAGTTTTCCTTCTGTTATTGATTTCTTACTTCATCACATTATGTTCGAAGAAGATATTTTGTATCTCTATCTTTTTAAATGTATAGAAACAATCTGTATTCTTTATATCATGGAGAATGTTCTGTGTACACTTGAGAATAATATGTATTCTGTTGTTGTTAGGTTGAGTTTTCTATATATGTCTGTTACACCTAGTTGGTTTATTGTGTTTTTGAAGTCTGCTATTTCCTTACATGTGTTCTGTCTGGTTGTTCTATCCTTTATTGAGAGAGATTTGAATTCTCCAAGTATTGTAGAACTATCTATTTCTCTCTTTAATTCTGGCAAGTTTTTTGTTATTGAGATATAAAAATTCTGTCATTTTTTGCTTTACATATTTTGATGTTCTATTTCTGGGTAAATGTTTATAATTATATATTCTTGATGTATTGAAATTTTCATTAATATACAGAAAGTCTATTTTGTTTGTTATTAGTATAGCCACCTCTCCTCTCTTTTGGTTACTATTTGCATGGAATATCCTTTTCTGTCCTTTGGCTTTCAACTTCAGATCTTTGGATCTAAAGTTAGTCTCTTGTAGATAGCAGAAAGTTGGACTATGTTTTTTTATTCTTTCTGCCAATCTCTGTCTTTTGATTGTAGTGTTTAATCTATTTATATTTAAATAATTACTGATAAGGAGGAATTTACTTCTGTCATTTTACTGTTTGTTTTCCTTGTGCTTTGTAGCTTTTTTTATCCCTCATGTCCCGCATTACTATTTTCATTTTTGCTTAATTGACTTTTGTAATGAAACATTAAAATTCCTTTCTTGTTTCCTTTTGTATATTTTCTGTAGCAGTTTTCTTTTTTTATTTCCATGGGGATTACATTTAACATTCAAATGTTATAACTAATTCTAATTTGAATTAATGCCAGCTTAACTTGAGAAACATACAAAATCTACTTGGCATTTGCCAAGTTGTTCTATCATAAAACTAATTAATAAGCAATAAATTACAGTTATCTTTCATGGCCTAGCTCAAATACATCTTCTATGTTGCAAATTTTTCTGAATACTCTAGCACATGTCGGTCCTGCTTGCCTTTGACTTCCTTCAGTCCACTGACTATACCACATAATTTAGCATATAATTCATTTCTTCCCCTATATTGCATCTTCACTCCTTCTGTTAAAATTTATTGAGGGATTACCATGCCTTAGGCACTGTACTAGATTCTGGATATACATGTAAGTGACCTGCTCTAGAGGCAGTGATAACCTAGTGAATGGGAAAGATGAGAAATGGGAATGTGGTAATTAATATCTTGTTATAGTAAGAACACATACATTTTTCTGTGGTCATGGGGAGGAAAGTTTTAACCCTTCCTAGATTTGGGGGGAAGGGAGGATAAGGGTAGAGGGAAGAGAAGGAAATATCAGGACAATTTTCCAAGGTAATGTGATGGTATTCGTGCTATTTCTCTACTACATTGAGGTTATGAATATGGGTTGTCATTCTTTCTGTGTTCCATACCACACCTAGCACAAAGAAGATAGTTCACTTACTCATTCAAGAATCATTTATTAAGCTCTGACTCTCCTGTTCACTGTGCCAGTGTCTAGGGACCCAGCTATAAATCTGACACAATCCTTGCCTTTGAGATGCTCTCAATAATGGATTTTTTTTTTCCTGCTGCCTGCCATTTTTCTTTGTTTGACTCCATGTAAATCCTTTTAATGTATTCTGCATTGGGATAGGGCTGGTTTATGAACAAATGGATAGATTTATAATTGGATGTAAGGTCAATATTGTGTTTTTCACATCTAACTAACTAGAGAGATGGTCACTGATAAGCTATCCAGGCGCTGTGCATACTCCTTCACCAGCCATTTCCTCTACCCATAGAGTCTGGCTAGGAGTGCTATAAACACATTGCTTAAAAGCTAGACCCCAAAGATAAAAAACATCACTACCTAACAACCATCTTGGGGGCTTACATGTTCCAACTCAAGACTTTACAATCTATTTTTTTCCTTCAGCAGCAATGCACCTGAGAGATAACTTTCACAAGTGCCTCACAAACCCTTGAGTAATTCGCATGTACAAGTGATGACCTCTCTCTCCCACTCAGGAAAGCAAATAAAAGAACAAGTTTGTGAAAAAACATTTTACAGGATAATATTGAATTTAAGTAATTTATTCTTAAAAGCAAAATAATTCATAAATTTTTGTACTTTATTATGGATAGTAACTTACTTTGACATACCACACAATGGTTCAAGTCACAGTAATGACTTGGGTGAAAATCACTATTCTAAACAGGCTAGGTCACCTGTTCAAAACTGATGCATAATTTTCAAAGAAAAATTTAAGTCAGTAATGCTTTGGACTTTGGAAGAAGTATTTCTAAGCCAGAAATTGTAGGAAGGAAATATCAGGACAATTTTCCAAGGTAATGTGGGAACTGGACAAAAGAAAGGATATGCTGGCCTATCATGTCATCTAATTCTCACAGTTTCCAAAGACTAAGTGAATAGCTTTTTGAACCTTTCGTATCTACTTCAAGATATAGATCGACTCTATATCCACATATCTGTTTTTCTGAGAAGTATCTTCTTGATTTTATCTCTCTTCCTTTAAGAGTAGAATCTTCTTTATGTTTCTGTATATATGTTGGTAGAAGCAATGTCAGACAATGGAAGATTCTGTGAGCTTCAAAGAAGTCCCAGGCAGGATAAATTTGAGCACTGATACTCAAAGATATCTACTGTATCTATGGCCTTAGTGTTATGAAAATATAGAAGGAAAAAATCAACTTATCTAGCGAATTTACATTGGACTGGATCTTCTTACTCTATGCTTCCATACCATCTGAAAAATAAGAATTAAACTTGAAGTGTAAATTTTCAAAAATAACTAGATCCACAAATACACATAATTAAAAGTGGCGCCTAATGCAACTTTGTAAAAGAACCAGTAAGGGATGAGGAAGTTTCAAGATGAGGGAAGGGAGAATTCTAGACAGAAAGAAGCAGAACACACACACACACACACACACACACACACACACACACACGCAACTAGAGGCAAGACAGTATGAAAATTGCTTGGTATGTTTGAAGCCAGAAGTGGAAAGACAATAAGAGCAATGATAACACTAGACAGATGAGAAAAGGCAAGCATAAGACAAATATGCATGCCATGCTACGGAGATTGGACCTTTTCTGGATGCAATGGGTGCCACTAAAAGGTTTTAATCAGTGAGTGTCCAGGTCAGATTTTTAGGGTGTAAATATCATTTATGAAGTTCACAGGGCTTGGAAAAGAGAAGGGAGAACTGAGAGTAGAAGAGGGAGATTTATTAGGAGAGCCCTGAAGTAATTTAAAAAAAAAATGTTTGGTGGTATTGGCAATGGGAATGAGAAAAGCAAACATTAAAGAAATTTTAAGTTAATAGAATCAACATGATTTTTAAAAAATAAAATAGATGCTGTGGAGTGAGGAAGAAGACATATTCAATGATGATTTTAAGATTTATGGAATGGGAAATTAGACAAAACATCCTGATATTCACTGAACTTTGGAAAATAGGATGGTGAACAAGTTTTAGGGAGTGGGTGGAAGGGGGCAGCAATAGTAAGTTTAGTGTAGAACATGTTGAGTTGAGGCGGCTGGGACATCCACTTGATTGCCTTCAAGTCTTTCTTTTTTCTAAGTCTCCCTTATCCTTGGATGATCTTATCACCATTGATGAATTAAGTTACCACTGGGATATTGATGGCTCCTAGATCTATATCCCAGCCAGGGTTGCTGTCTTGAATTTCAGATTCTATGTCTATTCCCTGTTTAGCTTTATACATTTCAACCCTAAACCTCAGCTTCCTCATCTGTGAACAGGAATACTAAAATCTCCTTATAGGATTATTTTGATGATAAATGAAGTAAAGCATGCAAAGTGACTGGGACCAAAGTAAGTGCTTAATAAATATTGGTGTATCCAGAATTGTCCTGATTAGTCCCTACAAGTCTTCTCTTTTAGAGTTCTTCAATCCTCCAGTGAACCCAAAGTGAGAGTCTGACTCTCTGTTTTCACAAAGAAAGTAAATTCTTATGCTCAGGAACTTACTTCGCCTCTTCGGGCCTCTTCATATCTTGGTGTTGTGCATAAAATAATTATTCAGAAAATAATGGACTTATTCTTAAAGTAAGCATCACAAACAGAATTCTAGCAACTGCAGCACACTAACAGATTTTGGCTGACAAAAATATAAGTATGCAGTTTGGAAATTTTAATCTGTGTGTGTGGAACTCCAGTAATTTCTAGAGTAGCTTCAAAGTTTCCACAAAAGGCAGAAGAAACCTCTCTCTCTCTAACACACACCCGCACATGCGCATGCCTCTGTCTGGGAAGCCTCGTTATCATTTTTGTCTGTTTTTTTTAATTTGGGATTCCATGGAGATTTTATTTGAATAAAAAGTTCCAGAACATATTCAATATTTTATTTAATAAAAAAGTTCCACTAGTAGAAAAAAGAAAAATTTGGAAACCACTATAAGAACATTTGCATCATTACTCATTACGAACTGTCATCTCTTTTCTGGAATGAACATTATGGGATTATTTGCACTTAATTTTTGAGATTCCAGAGGTAGCTTTGTTTACCAATAACTTTTCAGATTAAAATTTATGTTCTAGAAATCTTATTCTGCAACATGTATTGCTGTTCTTTCTGTCAATGCCCTAGGACAGGTAGGTGTGAAATGACAGGATTTGGCCCAGCTGGCTGTGGGCCACTTCACTACACTTAAAACTACCTTAGGTCCTTGAGAGATAGTTACTTGACTGTAAACATGCTGCATAAGGAACACGTATTCAGGGATAACAAATTTATCATCTCCTACCTAAGGCAATGGAAAATTCATGAATATTTATTTTTTACCTGGGATTACCATGAAAAATCATATTACTTACATGAGAAACAAAGCAAAAATACAATTTTCCTATTTCCTTCATTGAATTATGAGTAAGAAATGATCCAGCACAATAAATGAATCGTTACATCACCTTCTAAATCTAAAAAGTTTTATTTAATGAACACATCCACATTGAAAAAAATCAGTTTGGGGAAAATTAGTTGCTTGCTAATTAGTAGGAAAGAACAATACATGTTTGGACAATATATCCAACAGAAGTTCGATGCAAACTTCAGCTCCATGTCCCTTGACTTATGCTCTCTCATAAATTCTGGTAGAAGTGACGCCTTTCATGACACATTCCTAGACACACAAAAAAATTTCTTGATCAATCACGGGACTAAACCATGGGTTACTTATTTTCTCCTTTAATGTTGGGAAAGAAACAGTATTTATTTGAAAATATTCATTCTGAGATCCTATATATACCTGATATTGTAGTAAGTTAGGGAGATATGGAGACCGAGAAAACACAAGTCTTCCCCTCAAGGAACTTTACAATGTATAATGAGTGAGAAATATAACCAGAAATGCATCATACAATATGGTGTGTGCTGAGAGCAGTCACAGAATGCTTCTTGGGGGACAGCACACCTCGACTGAACTTAAAAGCATGAAGGGCAATTACCAGAGCGAAACCATAATCCCAATGGAATCACCTTTTTGTTCTATGCAAGCAAGCATGACTGTTTCTTTAGCTAGAATAGTGATTATAATATGACCTAGCAGTAGAGTCTAGAATTAAGCAACTAGAAGAGACTCACCACCACCAGTTTGTCATCCACTCGTTTTCTCTTTATGGTGGTTGATTTTCCATCCCACTTCTGCACCTGTACCAGGACTCCTCCATCTAACGTTATGATGCTCTGTGAGCATAGTAAAAAATTATTACCATTGGTATATGGTAGAGGAAAATAAAATAAAAAATACACCACCTTTGAATGAGGGAATATTTTGAGGTCATTAGTCACTCAGAATTGTAAGGATATATTAAAAGAAAAAAATGTCAAAAACGATAGCATACAAATAATACATTATGATCAAAAAAGTATACAAAAACACATACTTGAAATAACACTGTAAAAAATATAGATAATAAATTTATGTTGAGATGACAGTCTTATAGGTGATTTTTCTCCTTTTTTGCTTCTACTCTTTCATGAACATTCTCTAACATTGTTATGTTATTTTAATTCACTTCCAGATAATCTGTATATTGTATGACAAATAAATTGTGTTAATCACTTTTTTTAAAAGAATAAAGACAACTTTATAGAAAGGAGAAGATTCACTAACTAAATATCAAAGGCAACATGGTTTAAATCTAGGAAGTCAGGGATCTTTGACCTGTGATAGAATAGTTCCCCTCCTTTTATACAAAATGGCTTCTTCTAGGCAGCAGTCTTTTAGAAACCGTGCTTTTATTCTGCTCCAATTCCTTCTTCCTCACCTTGACTTTTCTGTCATCTGCAGTAACTTCATCAAATTCCTGGCCCAGTTTGAAGGAAATCTCAGTATTTTTAAAGGTGCTTTCTGATTTAATGGTGATCACATCCCCATTCACACTGATGATCATGTTGGGTTTGGCCATGCCAGCCACTTTCCTGGTGGCAAAGCCCACTCCTACAGTTGGGAAAAGAAAAAAGAAATGTCAAGTCCACAGTCTTCCTTCACAACTTTAACAAAGTCAGAACTGCAGTGTATGTGTGTGTTTGTGTATGTATAGGTGGGTTAGTGTGTACAGGTGGGGGTGTGTGCATAAAAGGAAAAAGATACCGCTGAGTTTCTTAAAAGCCTCATAAGACAGCAGCTGCAGATAAGTAAAGCAGGCTAATACTCAAAGAAACCCGTGGCATGACTAAGTGTAGGTCTACCTAAATTTCTTCTTCTGGGTTTCAGATACAACTCCACAGGAGACACATTGTTAATTTTGAGAAAGATTAAGTCTTCTGAAATATATATATATATATATATATAGTCACTACACTCTCTAACTGGCCACCTCAACCATTAGGGCAGCAACTATCATTTTGCTCAACTCATGAAACACTTGGGTCATCTTGACCTTTCCTTTTTGGAAAACAAAAATCCATAGTCAAAGACAGAATTCTCAATAGGATTTTTAAAACAAATACAGTTACTCCACTTAAAAATAATCTGTTTGGGTGTACAAAAGTCACATTTCATGGCATTTGCTGCCAAGTCCTATTTTCTTGGCTTTTCCAAATCACTACAAAATGAAGATTTTGATTAATTTCTCCAAAAGGCAAAATTGAAAAGAATCACTATTTTAGTAAGTTTAGAATTCAATACCTTGATTCTCAATCACCTCAGCGGCAAACACCTCTTTTAAAAAGGGAACTTTTTTCTTATGTAAGTAAGGTAAGGGATGAACAATTTACAACTTAATGTAGACAGTGGGAACTTGCTGTCACTGCATATGTTATACAGAATTTATGACAGTTGTAGATGTGTTGAATTTCGTAACACATGTACATAAACTGAAGCTACTTCTCTTACTAAAGACTACTTATCTATACCAAAGGTTAAGTAGAGGAGGTAAGGGGGAGAAAAATACTGTACAAAACAAGTGATGCTGAGGCTTTTACTTAGCTACCTGTCTGAAAAAATGGCCGCAGGTGGAAAGATATCTGGCTTCATCAAGTCCTGGCTCTGTTACAAAATATAACTTCACATATGTGGAGTGAGTCAGCATAATGAATGGTTGCAGCATTAAGTATAATTCCAGAATGGCTGGCCTTGGGAAAAATCACATTCTTCACAGTCCTTCTTTGACTGATGAAAGTATTACCTGCTAACTGATTGATCATCAGTTAGAGCAACTAATTTCAGGAGATATCTTATTGTCTTTCATTATCCCCAGTACTTTATAATTTTAAAACACAGTGGTATAAGAATTTACATATAAATGTTAAAAGTATAAAACGTTCCTAAAAATCAATAGCAAAATAGCCTCAAATCCTGACATTTCTGTATCAGCACATACCAATTAGTTTATTGAATCGTGGTTAGTTGATATTCTAGAAAGTTAGGTCTCTTATGCTGAAGTCCCTAAATTCCCTCCTGTCTAGAAACAAGGAAAATAGTAGTACTTACTGGCAAGGAAAATGTATATATACTATATAATTTAGGGATAGGTGAGGTCTTGAGATAGGGAGATTAAATCCTAACCCCTGTAAACCTCCCCACCTCAAGTTGCTACCCCTGGATACAACCTCATCGTGCGTAAGGGTGTGAGGAGAAGGGCTTTCAAGGTAGAAGCTGAGTGAAAACGAGCCTCCGTACCCCCTTGATTCACCACAGTAATTATCCAGGGAACATTCACATAACACACTGGCAATAGTAGCAGAATCTAAAACCCTGAAAGCCTCCATTATCAAGGAGGAGGTATGTTATGGATATAACATTGTCCTTTTGACTTGATAATCCTATGGCATCCCATGTAATTCCTAGTCAAAAAAATATTTAACCCCTTAAGACAACGTATTTTCTGAAATTAAGATTTTGGCTCCCATAAAACAACCACGCATTTTAACAGATTGACAGTGAGAAAATGAAATAATTAATATATGTTTACTTTAAAAATTACATTAAAAAGAGAAATATAGTGTGCTTTCAGCTTCAAATAGAAATTCTTGAACACTAGGAAATAAAAATCATCTTATTTATTTTACATGCAAGAGGGAATGAAAGAGAAACAGGCAAAGAGCCAAGTAAAACAAAGATACCCCAGTTTAGCAGTGAAATAAAATCTTGTCATTTCTGTGGACCATAAAAATTCCAGTTAGACCCTTTTTCATATTGGTTCACCTGTAGGAAACATTTGTTGTGACTTTGGTCTAGAATGTTTCTACAAACAAATAATTCTCACTTGCTACTTTTATAGCCTCTGTATAGAAAGCAGCATTTCCTATCTGGCCAATACTTCCAGAATGAAAAGCAGCCATAAACCTCTCTTCCCCCAGAGAAAAAGTTATAAATCCAGTCCCCCCACAGCGGAGTTTCTTACCCACTTCTTTCATGTAATCATCAAAGTTTTCACTGGAGCTAAGTTTCCAGGTACCAACAAAAGCATCACACATTTTATGAGCTTTCTAGAATTATCTTCAAGATGAGAAAAAGAGCTGTGGCTCTCAGGAAGGTGCTATGACCTTCTTGAGTCCAGATAACTTCCTTTTAAAGATACGCAGGTCATGTGATCTTAGGCATAACCAATTGGGGACAGTATCAGATCATTTCCTTCATTACCAGCCTCTGCAATTTTTACTCTGAGTCATGTTTTTAATAGAAATTTCTCAACTTTGGTTCTCCCTGGCAAATGGTCATTTGACTTAGAGTACAAATTATTTGTCAGCGTTCACAAAATATTTTCAACATTCCTACTTTGAGTTTAATGCTCAGTACATTGAATTTGTACCTATTATTTCCATACATATTTATCCCAGTGTAGAGTAGGTTAATTTTCCTGGGATGAACTTTGACCCCCTTTTCTGGAGTTTCTATTAAAATTGCAGTTATGTGGTTCTTTTGAATTAAGGAACCTAAGAATTATCTTAGATTCTTCAGTAATTGCAAAGGCTCTTTGGGACAGTGCTGTCTTGGGACTTACTTGCCAATTAAAATGAAATAAATAATGGCATCTTAAAGTACCTCAGACTTCTCATTTCAAATGTTTGGCGTGAGTGAAAAAGAAATTATACATCAGGAATCTGTCAACTTAATTAATAATAACTTAATCTCACTCTTTCCACCCCGTAAATGAGAGCATAGTATTTATTTCCATAGTATTGGGGCTTTAAAAAAAATAGGCCCCCTTCCAAAATATGCTCCTCATACTGAGAAAATTCAGCCAGTTCCTGAACTATGTTATTATGAGCTCAAAATTTATCCGGCTCTAAATGGTGTTGCTTTACTTGAAAATGATCAGAAGTGGTGGGTGGCCACACAATATAAAAATTTTATTTCCTTCTTTTACGCAGTGAATAATTCATGAAATTACTTTTCTAAAGTATTCCTGTCTTTCAATCTCCTCCTACCCCATACCAGAACGATGGAAGATGTTCATATGTGCATCAAACTGCCATGAACATACCCAGATTTTAGAAAAGAAAAAAGAAATAAAAATATTGCATCATGATGAATCACTACACTGTGTACCCCACTGCGTAGTACCTGCAGCACACACAATTGATTCACAGACCCATGTAAGTATCCAGAGGGCTTCCCAGAAATGTTTGAGGCAGAGGGTTCTATAAAGGACAGGTTTTTTTTTTTTTCTGTAGGCAAACAAGTTGCTATAAAGGCCTGATAAAGTATGTTACAACAGTAAGTTTTAATTGTTGCATTTTTTTAATGGCACGGTAATAATGTTCATCCACTCTGGACTGTTGCATAGATACATGGACTGTGGGTGATGTACCATTCCGGGTAGACTTGCTATTAAAAATTCATCTGTTTCCCATTGAACAAGTAAATAAAAATGATCAACCTTAATACAGTGATAACTTGACAATGTTCTCAATTAATAATGGTTTGCTTTTTTGTTTTGGCTTGGTTTTGGGTTATCTTTTTTAAGATTTTCTTAAGAGAAGTTTTAGGTTTACAACAAAATTGAGAGGAAGGTACAAAGATTTCTCATGTACCCCCTGCCCCCACACATTCACAGCCTCTCCCATGATCAACATCACTTACATTTTTTACCAAGGATGAACCTACATTTGACACATCATAATCACCCAAAGTCTATAGTTTATGTTAGGATTCACTTTTGATGTTGTACATTCTGTGTGTTTGGACAAAGTATAATGACATGTATCCATCATTATAATATCATAGAGTATTTTCACAGCCCTAAGAATTCTCTGGGCTCTGCCTATTCATCTCCTTCCCACATCCCTAAGCCCTCAACCTGGGCAAGCACTAATTTTTACTGTCTCCATCATTCTGCCTTTTCCAGAATATAGTTGTGTATGTGGCCTTTTCAGATTGGTTTCTTTTACTTAGTAATATGCATTTAAGTTTCCTCCAGGTCTTCTCATGGCTTCATAACTCATTTCTCATTACTGCTGAAAAATATTCCATTGTCTAGACATACTATAGTTTATGTCATTCACCTACTGGAGGACATTTTGATTATTTCCAAGATTTGGCAATTATGAATAAAGCCGCTATATGCATCCACATGCAGGTTCTTGTGTAGACATAAGTTTTCAACTCCTTTAGGTAAATACCAAGGAGCATGATCTAGTAAGAGTATGTTTCATTTTGTAAGGAACCACCAAACTGTCTTTCAAAGTGGCTATACCATTTTGCATTCCCACTAGCAATGGATGAGAGGTCTGTTGCTCACTAGTATTTGGTATTATCAGTAGTCTAGATTTTGGCCTTTCTAATAGGTGTAGAGTGGCATCACATTGCTAGTTTGCATTTTCCTGATGGAGTATGATGTGGAGCATCTTTTCATATGCTTATTTGCCCTCTGTACATCTTATTTGGTGAGGTGTCTGTTAAGGTGTTTGGCCCATTTTTAATTGGGTTGTTTGTTTTCTTATTGTTGAGTTTTAAGAGTTCTTTGTATATTTTGGATAGTAGTCCTTTATCAGATATATTTTTTGCAAATATTTTCTCCAGCCTTTGAATAATGGTTTACTTTTCAAAATATATGTTGATGCTTTACTTTTAGTAACAAATTGCTTCAGACAGGTTTTCAAATAATTATCACACTTGAATAATATATCATGTATATTTTAACACTGCAATTTAAACTTTTTTTTTAGAGATGGACTGCCCAAACACTGCAGTCTTTAATCACATGTGGTTCCTGAATACTTGAAATGTGGCTAGTATGATTCAGAAATTGAATTTTTAATTTTACTTACTTTTAATGAAAATTTAAGAAATGATCCTTATACAGTTATTGAGAAACTTTTAAATATATGTGGGAGAACCTGAATATGTGAATCTACTCTTCCAATTATAGAAATGTCTAAATTTATGAAATCTAAGTGTCAAAAGCATTTCAAAAGAAAATTTAGAATCTGAATTGAGATGTACTAATAGTATAAAATGCACAGTGAACTTTGAGGACAATATAAAAAGGTACAATATCTCATTAAAATTCTTGCACTGATTATATAAACTATGAAATGTTGAAATTATGACATTTTCGATATATTGGGCTAAATAAAATACATTACTAAAATTAATTCAATAAATTAATGTTTCTTTTCACTTTCTTAACCTGGCTACTAGAAAAATTTATTTATTTATTTATTTATTTTAAAGATTTTTATTTATTTATTTGACAGAGAGAGACACAGGGAGAGAGGGAACACAAGCAGGGGAGTGGGAGAGGGAGAAGCAGGCTTCCCTCCGAGCAGGGAGCCCGATGCGGGGCTCGATCCCAGGACCCTGGGATCATGACCCGGGCCGAAGGCAGACGCCCAACGCCTGAGTCACCCAGGCGCCCCATAGAAAATTTTAGATTGCACATATGGCTCACATTATGTTTCTATTGAGTAGCACTATTTTAGAGTCACATAGTGACACCAATGTTTATTTGTTTATTCAACGTGTGTGTCAGGGACTTGGCCAGCCATTGGGGATTCAATATGGGCAACCTTACCAGGCACTTGCTGGCTCTCATAGAGCTTACATTCTAGTTCTGGAGAAGATAATATACAAGGAGATAAATAAACCAACATCAGGTAGTGATTTCAGAGAAAACAGAACGAGGTAATCTGACGTAGACTGCTCTGCGGGTTGGCAACACTAGGTGGGGCAGCTCAGGGAGGTCAGTCAAAGGAGGTGGACAATGGAGCTGATACCTAGAGGATGAGAAGAAAAGAGCCATGGAAAGATAAGACAGAATGTGTTCCAGACGGAACAGCAGGAGTGTGCGGATTCCATTCTCGTTCATTACAGTTTCACCTAAACATGACCACCAGTACTAACCCATGACACACATAGACATATGTTCTTCTAAAACCATGACAAAAGTACATATATATGTTCCTGGTGAGCAGAGTCCAAACTCCATTAAGGCAGGAGGTTTTATTGTGATTATTTACTGGTGCATACCCAATAACTAAGTATTCAATAAAATTGAATTGAGAGTCCAGTAACACTCCTGTAAAATTACCTCAGGAATATTTCTATGGGCTATTAGCTTCATGTTCCTATTTTAACATACTTAGTGTCTGATCATTGCTGGAGAAATGGCATATTGAAATTTTCTGGAAACACAACTGGCTCCTTTATTGATTTCATATCAACAAAAATAGTAACCTATGGTATAGGAACTTGGTAACTTAAATAGCAATGAAAGAATTAATATAAAAGAAGGTTGTTGGGTCTACATGAAAAAATTTCACCTTATCAGTTGTGTAGAGTAACAAAGTGAGCTTGCCAGAGTTACTCAAGGGATGGTGTCTTTGAAAGCAGCTCAGCCTATGTTCCAAACACATGGGCCATCCTGTGGAATGCTAATATTCTATGAACAAGTCCACTAAGTTATGTATCACATAAGACAGAGATTTCCTTCAAACAAGAAGCTTTCCAGAAATTATTTTTCAGTTTTTTATTTTAATTCCAATATAGTTAAGTACAGTGTTATATTAATTTCAGGTGTACAATATAGTGATTTAATAATTCTACACATTACTCAGTGCTCATCATGATAAGTGTGCTCTTTAATCCCCATCACCTATTTCACTTATTCCCCCCACTGACCTCCCCCTCCAGTAATTATCACTTTGTTGTCTATAGTTAAGAGTCTGTTTCTTGGATTGTCTCTCTCTCTCTCTCTCTTTTTCCCTTCATTTTTTTTCTTAAATTCCACATATGAGTGAAATCATGTGGTATTTGTCTTTCTCTGACTGACTTATTTTGCTTGGCATTATACCCCCCAGCTCCATCCATGTTGTTGCAAATGGCAAGATTTCATTCTTTTTTAGGGCTAATATTCCACTATATATATATATGTACCATATCTTCTTTCTCTCTTCATCTATCAATGGACACTTGACTGCTTCCATAATTTGTCTATTGTAAATAATGCTGCAATAAACATAGAGGTGCATATTTTTTTTGAATTAGTGTTTTTGTAATTTTTCAGTAAATGCCCATACTGTTTTCCACAGTGGCTGCACCAG